CCGCGCCCCGCAGCCCCCCTGGCCCAGCCGGCCCGCCGCGCTGCGGGGCTGCGCTCGCCCCCGAGCCCCTCCTTGGGGACGCCCCCGCCACGCCCCCAGAGATCTCCACGGAGCGCCCCCCGCCCTTTCTTTGTCACTTTTAATCCCCTTCCTGGGACTGGAGGGTTTCGGGTGCAGTTGCTTCTGGGGAAAGCAGTTTGAGCTCGGTGCCGCGTACTCGACGCGCTAGGCGTTCAGAGAGGAGCAGTCCCCAAGTCGCCGCCACCCCCGGGGAGGACAGGGGCCGGGATGTCCCAGCCCAAGTCTCCCCTGCCCCGGGGACCCTAGCCTCCCCACGGCCCGCGGCTTGGCAGGGCTTCGCCCTGGCTCGCTCGCTCGGCTGCAAGGCCGGGCAGCGGTTCTGATGTGTTACAAGCAAAAATGAATCGTCTGCTCTGGGGAGACGTTGGGGAAGCTTTGACGCGACACGGCCTTTCTCCTGAGGCCACTATTCACCTTCAAGTTTCCTGTTGACCCCGGGGTGACCCACCCGGTTAAATATGTATAGCTTAAACATCGGCAATCTAGGTGCATTTCTTGCTTTCAAATTTTGCAGCGTAAGCAATCCTAACGCAAACCTATGAACGATATATTGCAAATGCCTCTGGAGAAATGCTGTGCAAGGGGCTCTCCGCGATGCGCTGGCGCTGAGCACAGGCACTTAAACCCGGGGAAGCCTGCAGCTCCGGAAAAGAGTTACATGCAGGGCAGCAGACGTTTTAAAAGAAGGTGGACCAAGTCAAGGAAAGCGACTGAAGCTCATCTGTCTTAGTTATGAGCTGTGATTCTTCATAAACGTATGTCATTGTGTTTAAAGAATGACAAATGTCAGCAAAGAGTCATTCACCCAAGTCTGTCCCAGATGGTATTAAATTCATTTTTGCCAGGTGTTTCTAGATCATGAAAGCAATGAAGCTTCTGTGAGCTGGAGCAGAATTTCAGCAGTGAGAGCTGGAAGAAGTGACCATGCAGCCATCGCGTTCCACCTCCCATTTTAGAACAAGGGAACAAGACAAAGAAGTCCATTTCCAGAATCCTGCACTTTCCAGAAGCCCACACTGCCCTGGGGACAGTGCAGTTTGTTATAGAAAACGTTGTGTTTCCTCTCCTCTCACAGTCCTTGAACACCACAGTCAATCACCAAGCAAATCAGAGCAATAAGTAGGCTCCATGTATTATCATCCCCATCTTCCTCCAGGATCTTGCCTGCGGCCACAGAGAAAGATTAAGGCAGACCCAGAAACAAATGGAGTCCGGGTTTCCTTCCGCACGGCCCTGGGAAAGGCTCCTCACTGTAGCATTCAACATCTCTACCCAATAATTAAGTTAGTGACAACTATGAAAACTCTAGCTGAGGTCTTCTTGCTTCTTATATTAATACTTGGATCTACAGCAACAATTACGGATAATTATAGGTGGTGTTTCTGTTTTCATGCATGGGGGGAGAGTATACTAGTTTAGAGTGGGGCTTTCTCAAAATAATTCCAATTGAAAGTCAAGTTTCAGGAATAGCCAGAGTACATCAGACATCCCACAGATCTAGGTTCAGATCCTAATTTGACCATTTACTAAGTGCCTTAGACACGGCACTCGCTCTGTCTCTAGCCTCAGTTTTAACAGCTGACACGTGGAGCGGACAATATCCACCTCGTAAATTATTAGTATTAGATAATGTATTAAAACAGTATACACTGCCACATGGAAGTGTGTAGCGTAGTAGAATCGAGTTACATAATCTAGGCAAACAGAAACAAAGTTACAAATGTAGGCAAAGGAATAACAAATGATGACAATGGACTAGGAAGGAGAGACAAGGCGGAGAGGCCCAAGGCTTGGAGAAATTACTGGACAATAGATACAACCAGGCTGGGCGCGGTCACTCATGCCTCTAATCCTAGCACTCTGGGAGGCCAAGGCGGGAGGATTGTTTGAGCTCAGGAGTTCGAGACCAGCCTGAGCAAGAGCGAGACCTCGTCTCTACTAAAAATAGAAAGAAATTAGCTGGACAACTAAAAATATATAGAAAAAATTAGCCGGGCATGGTGGCACATGCCTGTAGTCCCAGCTACTTGGGAGGCTGAGGCAGGAGGATCGCTTGAGCCCAGGAGTTTGAGGTTGCTGTGAGCTAGGCTGATGCCAGAGCACTCTAGCCCGGGCAACACAGTAAGACTCTGTCTCAAAAAAAAAAAAGACAAATAGATACAACCACTAGGTGACCGCGCCAGGACTAAAACAGAAAACCGGGGCTCATGGCTCTTAGGCCTGTTCTCAATTCACTTTATTTCTGTTTCACACACAGTTAGTGAAGACCTCCCATGTGGAAAGCACTGCATAAACATTACAGAATTATAAAAGTGAGTAAGAGAAGGACAATCTAGAGCTGCTGCCCCCAACCCCAGGGCCTGTTAGGAACGGGGCACACACAGGAGGTGAGTGTCAGGCAGGCACGTTTCATCTGTATTTACAGCCGCTCCCCATCACTCACATCACCGCCTGAGCTCCGCCTCCTGCCGGGTCAGCGGCGGCATTAGATTCTGCATTATGGTGATTTGCATACTTATTTCATTATGTATTACAATGTAATAATAATAGAAATAAAGTACACAATAAATGTAATGCCCCCGAAACATCCCGAAACCACTCCCCTGCCCCCATTCACAGAACCGGTCCCTGGTGCCAAAAAGGTTAGAGACCACTGATTAGAGGTTAGAATAAGATAGCTACTCCAATAACTATTATTCAAGACATTAAATATTAAATGCCAGCAAAGTGTTTCTGGCAGTACTAGGGAAGGAGGTGAACCTTCATTAAGAGAGGTGACATCAGAGTATATGTGGTAGCATTTTCTTTACATCACTTCCTTTCACGATTCAATAGTTAATAAGGGTCTGAGCAGTTTTTCAGAAACATGATCTGTAAGACTAATGATAATTACATCTATGCAACTAACCAGATAAAGCCTCACAGCTTTGTTTAAATCTACCTAGTTTATCTAGATAACAGTGATTCCCTTTATGTTAATAATTGATGAAAAACTAAGACTGTGTGATTTTAGATGCCAGATCCTTTGGGGTCTTGAGTCAAATTCATAAAATTTCATGACAAGTTGTGAATATGCTTTCACTAATATAACTCCTCACCGAACATCTAACCATAGTGTTGGATTACAGCCAGACCACCTTCATGTAAAACGTAAAACGTAAAACGTTTAGCTTGACCAAATGACTTCTGGCCTAAGGCAAGCACAAAAGCAAACCCAGTTCCAATGAGAAGCAAAATTGTACAAGTCAAGGGTCAAATGTTGCCTAAATAGTGGGTTTACTTTCTTAAAATCTGAATATTTTAGGTAAAATATGATGACCCTTGTCTTACTTATATTTCTGTTTTACAGGTGATTGAATCAGTTGGGTTTCAATATCCCAGAGAGTGCTGAGAATTAATTAGGGTATGTCTGGGCTTTGGGCCTATCTGCAAATGGGCAGGTGTGACCACACGGACTATAATTTCAACTACGTCCAGCTGCACTCGGCACACCATGAAATAAATACACCTCCCATGTGTGTAGGGCCGGTATTGTATTACCCAGCCTCTCACCCTTAGAAAGTTAATAATAAAGAATAAAGAAGATATTTACAGGAATATTTAAAATTTGTTCATGCTTTGAAGATTATAGTTATCTCTGGGTTATTTTACATACATAGTAATGGCTACTCATCAATCTTATACTTAAGATAATGTTATCAATCTCGTATGTCTAGCCTCACACAAGTTCAGTCTGATAGGAGAATTGGGTCTCTAATGCACCAAATAGTTATTGGCCATTTATTTTAAATCAAGCCCTGCATTGCACACTGGGTTTGTAAATGAAGAGGTGCCCACGGCCCAGTGTGGTGGTTCACATTTGTAATCCCAGCACTTTGAGAGGTCAAGACGGGAGGATCACTGGAAGCCAGGAGTTCAAGACCAGCCTGGGCGACAGAGTGAGACCCTGTCTCTACAAAAAATAAAAATTAAAATTAAAAAATCAGCCAGATGTGGTGGTGCATGCCTGTAGTCCCAGCTACTTGAGGGGTTGACATGGGAAGACCACTTGAGCCCAGAAGTTTGAGGTTGCAGTGAGCTATGACGGCACCACTGCACTCCAGACTGGGCGACAGAGCAAGACCCTGTCTCAAAAAAAAAAATACCCAGTCTGATAAAGATTTCATATGTGAACAGGCAGCTACCAAGAGTATAGCAAGAGCTACATATTAGGGATAGCAGCGGTACCCAGAGGAAGTGTTCACTCCTCCTAGGAGAGGAGGAAGCAGGCTACGTAGAGAAATGTTGTCCAAGAGAAATAGAGCGTGAACCACATTTGTAATTTTAAGTCTTTTAGTAGCCACAGATGAAATTAATTTTCATAACATATTTTATTGTACCCAATATATCCTAAATATTATCATTTCAACAGTAATCAATTTCTAGCAATATTAATGAG